TCAATTCCCCATGGTCACGCCCTTCTTGAGCTTCAGAAGGATGAGACCGTTGCGATTCCTGGCGGTCAACTTGATGAATACCAGTTGACAAAACGCGACCAGATCGCCACTAATGGGGCTTCCACCGTGTTTACGGCCGAACATTCCCAGGTTCCCGACGGCGTCATTACGGTAAAAGTACTCAAGACTCGTGGACCCCAGACAGACACTCGTCCGGATGTAATGCACCGAAACGTGATCCGTCAGGCCGATGTCTGGCTGCGCGAGTACCAAAGCCAGGAAGATCTACAGCACGAGTCCATCGTCAGGCTGTATGGTGGAGATGCGCGCTACTTGTCGCTATACATGGAGCATGTTGATGGCAAGGACCTAGCTGCTCGTCACGTCTGGCGCGACACCGCAACGGAGAAGTTCGTCGGTGGCCGCACCGACGCCGTTCGCATCCTCAAGGACATTGCAGGTGCCCTGCATTATGTTCACCAGAAGAAGCGCATCCATAACGACATCAAACCCGCCAATATCCTATACTCTCAGGACAGGGGCGCTGTACTCTGCGATTTTGGCCTGTCCACTCGCACCACCGACCCCGCCACTAGCGGCGGCACGCCATACTATGTTCCACCTGAATTTATTGGCCAGAAGCTCCGTGGCCCAGCCTCGGATGTCTGGGCGCTCGGCGTGACCATGCTCTACGTCTTGCGAAAGATTCCCTTTCCTGACGCTCGCGGTGTTCGAGGCCATCCAAGACAGCTCTACTGGATGATCGCGGATCTCAATCGCAAGCACGGCCATAATTCGCACCGTACCTCCTCTGCCGTCGCGCAGATGCAGCATTGGCTGAGTGAAGTGAACGAAGCCAAGACCCAACTCAATCCCCGCGACAAGATTGAGTTCCTAGTGTTGCAGATGCTCACGCCGAATCCGCATCAACGAATCACCATGGCTAAGGTTATGAGCGAATTACATCCGGATGAAAATATAACACCCCCAAGATAAATCCTCAAAGCCCACCAATTCAAGACACTCGCCCCTCACATCGCCGCTCCCTTTCCCAGTTCTTTGAACAATACAGCAACAACATCTTATTATGACACAAGCGGACCGAGGCCAATCACCGAAGCTATAAACTTTGCTTCAAATTTTGCTTTTCGGGGTGCCGTCTGTCCCAAAGGGGACGAAAGCGTCGTTTCCTAACATAAATCAGTTTCCAAAGCACCCTCATGTAAAGTTGTGGTGCTCAAGCGAGTTCATATGCCGCAAACAGTAAGTCTCGCAGGTAATGCCGATGGTATTCCATTGGTTTAACAGCATTTAGCTAACGGTTTCATTAGACGACGATTATGTCCATTCATCTAGTCATAACAGGAGCTCATCTACCACCTGAAATCGGGGGTTGTCCAGATCAATGACTGGAAGTGCCTGACGCCTGTCAGGTTCAGTGCTCCCCAGAACTCGTCAGCATTTGGGTATCAAGATCATGAGCACTCTTCGACAATTCTTCCCTCCCCTGGCCTTCCCTACATTACAACCACCAGAATCGATGCGATGGCAACAGCCAAACCAATAACCTGGGCACCGTTCGCGAAGAGTCCTCCGGACGCGCCGTTGGGCGTAGGTGTCGGAGTCGGGCTCGGAGTCGTTGCCGTGGCTTGTCCCACAATTGCCGCCGTCACACCTGTGCTATTCGTGCAGTCTCCACCAGAGAGAGACTTCGTGCCGGATTTGAACACGATATCGGCGCACTACCCCGAAGCATACACGTTAACATTGCCCAACCAACACCGGATAGAACAGAATCATGATTTGCTCACATTATACAATGCCGACCCCGACTGGCCGTTGGTGACAAACTGGAGCGTGGCAGCCTGGCCGTCCGCGACGGGGATAGGGACTGGGAGGACGGGGAAGCAGAAGTCACCCCGGCCAGTGACGTTGAGCAGATCCGGGGTGAGGGAGATGTTGAAGTTGGTCGAGTCCTCGCCGAGCCCGAGGTTGATGTACAGATAGGTCCAGGGATGGTGTAGGTCGAGGGCCACGGAGCCACCTTCAATCGGCCATTCCGTCTTGTTGCCCGCGCCGTAGGGCACGCCGGCGCCTGTTGACTGTCAGATTAGCTATCTCGAGCCTCAGAGTAGACGCCATCCGTCGTGTGCATATAGAAATAAAATCAAGAACGTACAGGGATAGTTCCACTGGCTGAATGTCGTGTTCTCGGCCAAACTGTCGGCTCGCCAGGCAGGGTACACGACGCCGAAGTGAGCGGACGCCAGCTCGACGGCCGCGAAAAGGGAGGCGATAGCAGCACGCATGTTGGCGAGGAATTTGTTCTAGAGTGGAGGGGTTCGAGATCGTGACAAGGAGGACGCTCTGTTGTATGTCCGTTCAAGCTGAGCGACGGGATCCAGCCGGTCAACTATGTAAACTTATACGGTTTGGAAAACGCCAGAGTGCGTATGCGAATAGGGCGAGAACCCGAAATCACGCGGTCGATGCTTCTGGGGCTGTCTTAAGTATGCAGCTCGCAACAGCGACGAGACAACCCAAAAAGCAACGCAACCAGGTTCTCGGGTAACGACACTTGAGGCGGTATCTGGGTGGTGGTGCAGCTGGTACCTACCTAAACCTACATGTATCGTTGTAGGTACCACAAACACGCGAAAGACTCAATTCTACACTAAATCTTAACTAGTAATCATCGGATAGAATAGCGGGGAGTCTGTGAAAAGGCCCTATTATACTGTAATTAAGGAGCAGCCACAGCATCGTCCCCCGCTTACTCTATCCAATGATTATTATAGTTAAGATTTAGCGTCGAATTGAGTTTTTCGCATGTTTGCGGTAGTTCCTGGACAGAGGGCAAATCTTACTGGAAAGCTTGAGCATGTTTTTTTGGCCAGTAACAGGTCAGGTACAGCACAAATAGGGCAATAGCCAAACCTTCTCCTCGCAAGTGATAGCACAATTAGGTTTCGGTTCTGCTTGGCAGGTTCCGCCGCTTGTCAAGAGTCAGGGCTGGGCGGTGCGAAAGAGGCGCAGAAATACTTGCTCAAACTGGCTCACAAACCCCTTAGCCGGTCGACTTTTTTAAGCCCCTGACTTTCCCGTCGAGGTGTTAGATGCGGGGGAAGCATGGTGGGCGGTTGGAATGAATGTGTGAGGCTGTCCTACCCGGTGAGGTGCCTCCGGCACCGACAGCGTAGGACAACGACGCCTGCGATGCAACTTGATTGGATTCATGGTGTGTTAATCCCTGATTCTGACACCACACCGTCGTGCAAGAGGGGCAAGGTAGGGATTTGAATCATCATATTGTCCCACCACTCCTCTGCCAACAAGACAATAAACCCGGGATCACGGTCTTAGTAGATGTGGCACGTTACCACAATATAGACTTCGATACCTCTAGAGCCAGTGATAGAGAGCTACATAGTTTAGAAAGCGTATGCTAGTAGAGTACCAGGCTACTGTATCGTGTTTTTCAGATGATAGAGAAAAGGTATTGCTTCCTTATTTCCTTATTTTCTCGACGACATAATCAGTGAAAAGCTAGAAACCTGCCGCCGGTAGCGAATATCTTTTTAGAGCAAGCCGTATTTTCTTCGGTATGTACCTCAAAACCGTGGGTTTATGAGTAGATGGAGCCGTGATGTTGGATAATACCGGGGCGCAAATGCTATACGCGCCCCTTAAGTAGCCTCCACTTCGGCTTAGGTAAGTAGCAACAGCAGAAAGTTATCAACACGATCGTAGCCACAACAGAACAGGAAGAAGATATCAATTCAACAAGCGAAAGTCAGTCAACTTGTTTCACTGCAGCGCATCATAGCGCCAGTGGGGTAGAAATCGTGTCGGGGAGCTAGATATAAGTCTGTCGCTAAAAGAATACAAGGTAGAATAGCACATATAGACCTTAAAACCTCGGTAGCGCCAACTACTAGCCATCGCTAAGTAGCTTTTCATTTGAGTACCTAAAAGGGGGGGAAAAACGTACAACACCAAGGATTCATTTCAGTCGTCATCGTGCCCCTTAATACTTGAGGACCTAGACCTACGTACCATCGTATTCTTGGACAGACCTCTACAACTCCTGGGGCTTCATCGGGCCGTCAACGAACTTTATCTGATGGAATTAGCCCTCGCTCGAAGCAACAAAGGCAAAGGCAAGGCTCTTGCTGGCGATCCGGCTGGATATATTCTATCATGACTTTTGGTGGTGCCTTTGGCAGCGTCGATGCTTCCTTTGCTAAAAATGACAAGACCGACACGGCTGATGTCGATACTTCCGAGATGGTGACTCAGACTATAGGAGAGTCTATGAACCCCGGCGAGACATACGCTGAGCGATTGACTCAGAACTAGGGCAAATTTTATCAACACCAGCACCTTGATTGATGGTATTGGGTCACAAGTTGCGGTACCCGACGTGTCAGTTCGCTTTGAGGTCATTGCACGAGCAGATAAATTGTTCACTGATAAATGATGGATCATGATACAAACAAATTCATGGAAATAGATGTAACAAGGGCTTGGGTCAAGGGCTTGGAATCAAGTATTCAATTAAGCTATAATTCTCTTTGGTCTCCACGGTCCGATGGCTTCCCTTCTTCATACTGAATGGTGCCTGTTCAGCATATTTATCTATAGCTGCTGGAATAGTAAGTTCCTCTCTGCATCCGGTTAATCCTTCATTTCCTAAGGGTCTTAGATTAATATAGAGAGAGTGCATTCTGCAGTATCAGAATGTCTAGTAGGCCCTCGTGTCCTTAGGGTCGCCGACGACTTCGGCCGTAGATGGCTGTCTCGGCCGCGAGGGTCCTTTGCCGTGTAACAATAGACCTCTACTCCTAGTTCTAGTGTGAGTTCAATGGTAGGTCATCCGCGGTTTATAACTTTTACTTGTTAATAATGGGTTAGAAGACGATTCGTTTCTCTTCACTTTTTGACGAGCGAACCTAGTTATAATGAGCTTAATGGAGCCGGCTTCGCCAACCAAGAAAGAAGGATCTATGGCGCAATTGGCTAGCGCGTCGGCTTCCAGTTCCGAAGGATGTCCGTTCAAGTCGGGCTAGGTTCAATTCTTATGATATTTAAGTTTCGTGGTTTCTTTTTTGTTTGGTTTTCGTATGAATAGGGTTACAGTGACGTTAAACGTCGATGCAGCGATTAAAATGTACCCTATTAGAAAGCTTTGCCGCAAGAGAATCTCTGTTTCAGCAGAGTATCCGCTCGTCTTCACAAGACTTCGTTCGGTTAACGCCTAGTGCCATTCTCTTCTCTCGTCCCCCTGAGCCCCCCTTCCGAGTCCCTAGGGCTTCAACGCCTAAAGCAATACGCGGGCTACACGGTCTGACTACAGTTGCACTCCGACAAATAGCAGGCATCTGAGAAAATATACAGTTTCAGGGGTATCTGTTATAGACTTCTCAAGCTTCGCCTTCCCTTAGATTAGTAGTTGAAGGCAAAGCTGTCTGATAATGGCAAATATTTGCTGAAGAGCTCGATCAATCGTATAATAGGTTTCAGTTCTCTTATGTTCGACATTTCGCCTAATAGTGGTGGCATTGGAGGCATCGAGAAAATAGGATGAGACACGCAAGGTCCTCTCTTGCCCACATAGGAACTAACTAAGCGCCAAGCTATTGTCTTAAAAACATAAGTTCATCATCCTTTTTTTCTCCTTAAGCTTGCTGCTCGCCTTGATACAGGCTTTAGGGAGACAGGGCTATCCTTCTATTAGGTACAGTAGTCTTGATTACGATAGAGAAATAATGAATTACAGATATTAGTAGAGATACTACATGACATAAATAATGGCATTTTGTTAGAACTGAGTTCGAGCTACCGGGTTTTGAGTTTATGTTTCCTAGTCCCCATTAAGTTGGATTTTCCACTAATCTATAATACAACTACTTTATATATCTCTTGATGGTTTATTACATATCTTCTAGCACTATGGCCGCAAGCAATCCCCCACCCATATCCGTCAAGAATATAAGTTTGCACTAAGCGCCTAAGCACTAGACTAAGCAATCCCAGGTTTCGCAATGCAGAAGTTAAATGTCACAGATCTATTCTGCGGTAGTTGGCTAGAAATGTACGTTAGATGTGATCGTGAGAAGTTGAGAAACCCTCCGGGACCAGGCAAAAAGCTGTCATATAGAGATCAAGTAGTGTAACTATAAATAGAAAATTCAAGGGAAATTCAAGGCATCCCCTTTGCTATAACAAACCTCGTTATGAAATGCAAGTCGCAGCTCAGTGTCTAAGTTAGTTTTAGAAGCTTTCTGACTTAATATAGTACAACCTCGAACTCCTAACTCCTTCGTCGGCCTTTAGCGAAGGCAGTGATGAAGTCTAAGGAATACATTTTACGTGAGTATATTATAGCCCGCCAACATATATCCAAATTTCATATTGACAATCTACTAACTACTATACTAATTAATTACCTATTATAATCCGCCTGTGCCTCCTGTCTTCTCGATAGCAACGCTAGCAGCGATGTGAGGGGTTGGGCGGTGGCTTTTTGGCGCATGTGCGTTTGGTACCCTCGGGTAATTGCTCTTCCACTCTCTTGACGACAGCTCTGTCGTTTATGACAAGTTAGATTTGTGTGTATATTCAAGATAGGCTACTTTAGCGGCGCTTAATTATTGAGTCTACAACTGTTTAGGCGTTTTCCTTCCGCCCGCTATGACAGTCACACGTTCTAGAATAATCATTAGCAAGTTTCTTTGACAAGAATCGGCTATCGAAACCTTGTGCTAGTGAGGAACGATGACGTACATTTCGCTGAGAGAAACCCGGATTGTGTCCCTATGACTCTTCATGAACATGGCGCCAGTGAGATCCTCCACGATCTCGATGTAAGAAGTGCCTAGACTGTCGTGGTTGGGAACAATTGGTGTAGGTCAGGCTTAATACCACCACGGCTGCGGTGTTGACGCCACAACAACATGCACGACAATGCGGGACAGAGGGAGTAAGGAGCAACAAGGTGATTATGCAGCATGCAGTCGCAGTGACGACTGAGCTATAGCATCACTAGGGGCCAAATATGCACGATAACCTATAAACACATGCAGCGTATCCCCGTTCTATGTTGCGCAATAGGAGAGATTTAGGAGCGTCATGGGCACAACGGCGAGAATGTAGAAGGCCAATATGCCAATACGCCAATACGCCAATACCTTTACCTCGGCCGGCATTACAGTGAACAGGAAGAATGAGGTGTCACATAGGGCCTCCTGTCCGGAAAGAACCGTAAGGAACAGAGACGGAGCGGCAGGCCGAGTGCGAGAAGGAAGGCTTGAAGTGGACTCTGTCTCCGCTGGTGCTATTTGCCAGCCTGAGTCGGCGAGATTGTTCTTCCAGATTATTATCATCTGATACAGGGGACTGTGACTATCAGTCCTTCTGCATATTCTCATGTATGAACACTGATGACTACACGTGAGTCTTTGAACCTTAACATTGTATGCGGGTAAGGGACCTTAGTGTACGTCAAATGCTAAGGTAAGCAAGCTACAACGACTACATGTAGGCATGTGTCGCAAAAGCTTATCTAGAGGGCCGGACACGGATCAGTGCGTCTCTACGGCACTCCATACCACCTTGTAAGTAATATGCAGCCCTGCCATAGATTGCCATCTGGCATCTGGCTCTGCGCCCCTGCCCCCCCCTTGCATCACGGGTTTTGTGCCATGGTGGTATTCGGGGCTTAGAGCGAGGTTCTCGTTATAGTATCCCCCGACCTTGTCCCCAAACACGGCCATTCTCACATTAAATAGCGTCATCCGATTGCAACCTCTTAATGAGAGGTCCAAGTTGCCCGTTAACATATATTCGCAGTGGCCGTCAGAGGCACCCCCGCGAGACCGGTTTATTCAAATGAGTTGCGTCATTTCTGATCCTGCTGCACAGCGTGTCTGCGCAGAGCGAACAAAGGCGACGATGCCGAAGCGAGCACGGACTCGGAGACTCGAGCAGTGGGTTCCGATATATCTGCATGCTCAAGACACGCCATCTGACGGGAATTGAGAAACTCGCGAGGGCGAGCGAGATCTGGGTAAGCCACCGGCATGCCAACTCGTTAAAGCCTGCCGTCTCCTGCAAGCGCGGCGCCACTTCATCATCGGCCGTCGATCGCGACTGTATGGTATGGAAGGCCGAGACTGGAGACGTTTAGGCTACAGGTCCGATAATATCAGCCACGAGAAAATAACGTAAACATGTGGAGGTGTAGATAAGAAATGCAGAGATTGACGTCTGAAGCGTGGAGGCGGCCGGAGAGCGAGTTGAGAGCTTTATATTGCAGTGTATCACTCTCGTGAGCCAATTATGGGCCACAGTAATAGGCCCCTCCTACCCAAAACAGTAGTATTGTGAGCCAGGGAGCTGATGATCACTTTCTATGTATAGTTTAGTGTTCGCTATCTTTTTTTTATGGCCACTTAATGTGGTACTCGTGTGGGATGACCAGGATAGAGGAATTCGTAGGTATCAAACAACGTTCTTTAAAACCAGGTAGGTACCCGATGTCAACTTAGTGGTACCTTAGGTAGCCTGTTAGGGCTAGAGAGGTTCCTGAACTGAGATTCGAGTTCGGTTCTTGCTATTAAAAAATCACGACAACGATTCAGAGCGACTTTTTACAAGGACACCTGCACAGAACTCCCTTGCATGGCTCTTTCTGTTACTTATCTATAATCTGCAACCAGATTCACGCCAAGACTCGAAGCGAACCTAAAACTGGGCCGAATGGCTTTTCGGGCAATCCCCGAGTCGCTCACCACCGTCGCGCTGCGTTGTGTGGTTGGTGTCCGTTCGCAGTGCTACATTCAAGTGAGAATATGCAGATGTTCGCATTGAGGCTATTGAGATGATTTAAACTCGACGATAAACAAACACTTCAGACTTGCAGCCCGGGGTGCATAATATTTCCGAATTCGTATCCATCATAAATTGAACTCTAGGAAGTGTACTCAGTTGATAGAGACTACATGAGACAAGCTCTACATTATGTAGGTAGCCAATACTGCACGCTATATCCTCTGCCGAAATAGGAAGGCAGCCTTTCTGGGGAGATATGACGTGTGTAGAGCAACGAAGACCCGTTATTTGAGGCTATACCAGTATGTTGAATTTGACATTTCTCTCGCCAACGGTTGGATGTCAACCTGATGCAACACTTCCGCGCGAATAGTATTTTTACATGCGGACGCGTAGTATTTCGCCACTTACTGTAGAGGCGAAGAAAGAATCTGTCACCGTCACAACGAGCAACTAGGCAAGCAATGCAAACAGTCGGGGTCCTTTTTGGCATATTACATGCTGTTGTATGGCAGCCGAGCTGCTGCTGTATTGGCCTCATGCATGCTGTAGGCTTGTACACGATACGAAGTATTGGCCGATTATAAACATCTGTAGAAGGTAGGTATACCGTATCTGTATGGTCAATTGGCGCTTGGTGTACTGAGAAGCCGGCGGCAAAATTTGATTTCGCTAACTACAAGGTTGACCGCAGCAATGATTAGACGGATACATCTCTGTACGGTACCGACCTATATACCTGGTCTGGCTTGAAATTAAGTTGCATGCTGCGTGCTGTGCACAATCTTGCCGTCTACCGTAATTTGCGGGAAAATGCACGAGAGAAGGATGACAAGCTCCGGGGACAAATGCACAACATGACGGTACATAGCTGTCTACCAGGATCTTATCCATAAACGCCAATTGAGTGATATAGCAGACATAAAAGTGGTCAGGTACTCTAGACTTCTTATCAACTTATAAGATCATGATTTGAGGAGACGGACCTAGATTATCTAAGTGGCATATCGACTGTCACTATAGCAGTGCTCGACCTCGTTTTCTCTCACACCACACCGGGTACAGCTCAATCGCTGCTTTTGCGCAGATATGTATCTGTCAACAAACTGTCACTAACATTATACATATAGTACGGGGTTTTCTTTTTTTGAAATACGAATGCTGTACTGGTACCGGGTTGGTGGGCAGGTTGGTTGTGAAACTGGACAGCTATGAGTGAGTTGTGTAAGTTTCGTTTAACCT